CGCGCGCTTTTTTACAGTGACCGCGCCAGCAGTCGTCGCCCAGCGTCCTTTTGGCGTCCGGCAGGTGACGAGAGAGAGAGAGAGAGAGAGAGAGAGAGAGAGAGAGAGAGAGAGAGAGAGAGAGAGAGAGAGAGAGAGAGAGAGAAGGGGGATTCGAGCGCAATTTTCCGAGGTGTAATTAACGCGCTGGATTAGAGAGATACGCGTCGAGAGGAAGTGAGAGGATTAGAGAGTCTGATGCAGAGTCGGCGGCGGGATGGACAAGGAAGGGAGTCTGTGACCAAAAAAAAAAACAAAAAAAAACAGCAAATAAAAAATACTTAAAAAAGGCGCGTGAAAATAAAAGCGAACTGGTGAACAAGGGCCAATTATCGGCGACTGGATTAAGGTGTGCCGAGCATAATCTCGTGACACCTGCAGGTGTGGGCCGCGGCGCCCCGGGCGACTGCAGGGCCTCTCTCTTTCTTTCTGATGAATATCGCGTTATGACACGCAGGATGAATATCGTACAATGCTGTTGTTGTTGTTGTTGTTGTTGTCGCGGGTTGCGCTTCTGTTGTTTCGGAACGTCGCCGCGAGGCACGAGGGCCCTATGGTCAGCACGGCTCTTTTCGTTTCTCCACGGCCCAAGATACGAGCGCCACGAGCGCTACAAGCTGCAGGTGCACACCTCTTGAATGCGTGGTGGACGAATTATAATTCAAGCAACACTGTCCCGAAATTCATCCTATTGATAAAATTCGAGCCACGAAGTGAAGAATATCCACTAGGTTTCAGGGTTGCAGTCGATAAAAAGGACTTTGTCATAATCTCGTTGAAAGCCTCTCCTCTGTGAAGGACACGCGAGGTAAACGCTGTCCCGCTCCGAGACCCCCTACCTACCCCCTCTCTTTTCTCTCAGCCTCTCGAGAAGCGGACCCAAATTGGTGGCTACCAGTCGAGAAACACACGTCGTTCGTTATTCACTGGCACAATGGCGCGAAAATGAAAAAGGACGCCGAATCGATTACTACTATCGAGATAACAATCGGGAGCACGCCCATTCATTCCCCCTCCTCTCTCTCTCTCTCTCTCTCTCTCTCTCTCTCTCAGACGCACACACACTCACGTCTTTCACACACCGAGCTGCAGATGCTGCTCGTCGAGTGCCATTGACAGGCGCGCACGGCATGAGTTTCAACACGGAGGAGGGGGATCTCGGGGAGCTCACGCGCCTCTCTGGGCCCTCTGTGTGCGCTGGAGACACTGCGAGTCATGCCCGAGACAAAACGAAACACCCAACACTTTCGTACGGAAAAATATCGGTGGAATCTGTCGGATGAAATTGTTGTCTGTGTGCGTGAGTGTGCGCGACGCCGGGAGCGACTCGCAGTGGACTCGCAGTGGCAGCAGTCAGGCCAGAAAGTTGGGTGATTGAAGGGCCGTCGCCGGCGACGCCCAGTGCCTGGCCAGGGCTTGGGAAAACGGGCCGCCCTTTGCCCCCTGCGGACCGGGGCCGGCCGCGGCGCGGGGCGACTGGCCCAGTCACAACTTGTGCGCCACCTGTATCACAACATGAACCCTTCATACCCGGCGCCGTGTGGACTGCAGCCCCTGCCGACTTTCGGGCCGGCTAAAAGTTTGACGGGGAGGGGGAAATTTGAGATATTTCCGAGCGCAGTCGGTGGCCCCTCGATCGACTAGGCAGACAGAAAGTAGAGCGGAGCGGGGGAAAGGTTTAGTGCGGGATAACAATAATTTAGTACGCCGCCGGCGGCCAGGCAGCGGCGTCGCGACGCAATCTTTACGACCGTTATGCTTATTTTGGTTCTATTTCGGAGCCGTCGTTTGTTGTTATTTACAGAAAACATTTTTGTGGCACAATTTGGTGCGCGTTTTAATTCGCAGTTCCGAGGGTTGAAGCCGCATACTTATAGCCAACTTTCGGAGCTCTGCCTTGAGCAGGTCATGCCCGCAACTGGTGGCCGGCCGGGTCCCCGGGTTCGAGTCCCGCCATCTCCAATTTTTCGGTCCCCTCCCTTTTACGCGAATTCTGCCCTTTATTTCTCGCCTCACTGGTCACACAAATTGAATCTCGATGCCTGTATGCACACCCACACACTCACACGCCGACACTCGCACTCACGCCGAAGCCATTGAGAGCACAGCTTAAGCGCCGTACATGGCGTAATAATAATTCTCGCTGCTGGCGGGGCCGGGCGGCGCGGCGCGGCGCTGTTGCTGCTAACGCGTTGGCCAACTAAACATTCCGTCCCCGTGTGTCCACCACTGGCGCGCTCCGCCCCGCCCCGCCCCGCCGCGGGGCTTCTTAACATAGCACCTCCGGTTCGCCAAAAATAGTTTGACCCAAGAAGTCCATTAGCGACCTCCTCTGCCGGCTAGCCGTCTCACACCGAATGCAAGGGATCGACCGCCAGGCACGCCATTGTGCCGCGGGTCAGTCTCGGCCTTCCAAGCCTGCGCGGCCTTCCCCGAGTCACAAGCAGCCAAGTGCAGTGGCGGAGTACCTGTGCGTGTGTGTGCACTGCGGATCCATGCACTTACCGATTGCTGCTTTTCCGTGCATCCGGTTGACGCTGTGCGCGCCGTGCCCCCATTCCGAAATCCGTTGTCGGCCTTGGCGGGGACCAGTTCCTTGTTGGGTGGGCGGCCCGCCTTCCATGGTCGCGTCGCGTCTGGTCAGTCCGCCCGTTACCGGCCGAACGCGCCGACAAGCGCGCCGATGCAGTGGGCGAGGAGAAGCATTACGAATGCACCCCGCCGATATTGGACGCGATGCGGGTGCGACTGCATCACAGCCGAGGAATGCATGGATGGAGCCGACTCCTTTCTACACGGACAAACTTGATCCGAAATTTTTTAGCAGATGATACCTTCACACTTGAAACATACTTAAAACCGAGAAATTTGAAAGGGAAAAGAAAAAAATTTGAACTCTACACCCCCTCCCCAGTCTTAATGGGGAGGCCTCCTGCTTTACTTCGGTGTTCGGGATGGGAACCGGTGCTATCAGGTACCTGGGGTTAATCCCGTCAGCGACTCTAAGCGTTCGCCGGGGGACCCAGTAGGACCCCAAAGCTCAGGCAGCTGGGTGAGAGCACCCAGTACGAAGCTCTTTGAGGGGCGGGACGTAGAGTGAGACGACAGAGAGACAGAGAGAGACTCAGACAGAGAAGAGGTTTGGTGGGAGCTTCTTGTTTTCGTAGGGTTGGTTGTGTACCCCATGGTACCCCCACTGTCCGGCGCTCCCGTACCGAACATACAGCGTTTTAGGCCAGCTTCAAAGGACTTATCATCGCCTCCCCGACAAGTCAAGGAGGCACCACCCGCAACCACACACCGGGTGGTCTGGATTGATGGATCAAATACGCCATCGCTCCAGTGCCGAGGCCAACCCGCCGAAGCGGATTGCTTTTTAGACACCCACAGCGGAGTGGCCAGGTGAATGTGACTCTGACCACTACGCTATCACGCTTGTACGTCTGGTAGCGTGTTGGACGACGGGTTTGAGTTGCAGTGGGAGGAAGGCAGTCTAAAAATGTAATGAAATGATGGGATTCGATCCCCGGACCCCGCCATCGGGATCACACGACTTTACGCTCTCGGCCACCACGGCCCATGATGAGGGGATCGGCGTGAGGTGGGTTGTTGACGCAACATGACTCGACCGACCCGGTCAAAATTTCGCAAGAAGTTGGGGGAGTCGAACCGCCGACCCTAGCACTGAGAACCGACGCCTCTACTCCCTGGACCACCACGTCCCATGCTCAGAGTGGGCTCACGTTTACGGGTTTGAACCGCACTGGGTGAGGCAGTAAAATTAAATGGAAATATTTGTTAGGAGTCGAACCTCCGGCATGTGGGCTTGTTGCACACGGCTCCGCTCTCATGGCCTCGAACCACCACCCTTAGGATAGCAAGTCGAAAAAACTTTTGTGACGCTGGTATTCGAACGCCGGCCTGCGGTAACTCGATCCCACGTCTCTAACCTCTCGGCTATCACAGCAGTTGTGAAACGCGATGGATCATCTGCTTTCATTAACGTTCGTTGAATGAGATTTTTTTTCCGCACATCAGAACTGTTTAAATGTAGAAAATTTCCCACAATTTCCAACGTCACCGAGTCATTGCTTCCTTTCCACCTCCTTTTGACCACCGGACCCGTGGCGTGGCCCGGCGTGGCTTCGAAGGGCGACGCCCGGATGCGCGGAACAGCGAACTCCCGCCGCACCGTTGCACGTGGGCGGCAGCGTCGCGGTGCCTTCATCTCCGCGGCCGCTCTCTGACCGCCACTCACTCAAACAACGCCACGTACTAATCACAGCGTGACAGATGGGAGAGAGAGAGAGAGGAGGGGGAGCGAGTAGAGGTGGCGGAGAGGGCGGGAGAGGGAGGGAGAGGGGGGAAGGCGGGAGGGTGTCCACCACGCGGTGATCGAAAATAAATTATTCCCCGCCTGGAGGCTGCGCAGCCAAACCAGCCCGAATACGCATCAGGAGATGAGGTTACGCGCCGCGATCATGGGGAAGGGGGGGGGGCACTGCGAGGCTGCTAACACTTTTATGAGATCTCGTCGGAGCATCGGTGCGCTGACCTTCCGAATTGGGCTGCAGGGACCCCTCCCCCCTCTCTTTTTGCCCCCTTACCGCCAGCCCGACCGTGGGGCTGAAGCAGGGGCGGGGCGGGGCAGGGCGGGGGCCCCGGGCCCCGGCACCGCGCGGTGCTCTGTAGGTGTGGTTTGGGGGATGGGATGGGGAGGTCAGGACGTCGTGGAGCCGCGCCCGAATCTGTTGGCCAGACTCATCACTTTCGGGTGAATAAATCCAGCAGCATCCATACGGCATGACCAGTTCACCCGCTCCACTGCCGGGGCCTCGCTTCACCAATTCATATGGGTGTCTTTTAAATACCGAACGTGAAAACAGACACCTGCTCTAGCTGCGAATGTTTGACCCGTTTTTGCCGCGAGATGCTAATGACGCCCCCTTCGATTGTCGCAGAGCCATGCCGCCGCTGCCGCCGCTGCGACTGCTGTGTGTGGGCGCGCTGCTGCTGGTCTGGGCCGTGCCCGTGGACCCGCAGTGGCGGGTGTTCCGCACCGCGTCCATGTCGCCGTCCTCGTACAACCGGGTGAACCGGGTGAGCCGAAAACGACCATTGCCCCGCTAGACGGCCGCCTGGAGCGTTGGCAGCAAGACGCGCTTTGCCCTGTAAGTAGGCAAGGTGCTGCTTCGCCTTCCCCAGGCCGGCCCGGAATCCGCCACCGCGGCGGTCAAGCCTGTCGCTAACGCGCCGCCATCCCGCAGGACACCAACGTGCCCGTGAGCGAGCTGCGGTACCCGGGCTACGTGGTGGGCGGCTCCTCGCGCGGCAAGGCGTCCCGCGCCGCCAGCACCCAGCCGCCCCGGAACCGGCGCCAGTACCGCGGCTACAGCAAGCAGAGCACGTTCACGCTGCTGCGGCAGCTCATCGCGGAGGTGAGGAAGACGTCTGCTGTTCGCCCCCACTGCCAAGCGGCGGCGGCGCTCCGGCAACGCCGACGGCGAGGCCGCGGGGAGCGCCGGGGAGGCAGGCCGCCCGGCGCACACGCGAGCGTGGCGGCCACGCTGCCTGCCCGGCGCTCCACGCCCGCCACGCCCCTCGCGGTCCTCGCGGTCCTCGCATTGATGTGATGTGCCTCTCCGGTTACAGACCGCTAACGAGACGCGCACCGCCTTCAACCAGATCGGTGACATCCTGGGCTCCCAGTTCGCGGACTCGCGTCCGCAGGCGGCCACCACGACCACCACGTCGACCACGCCGGCCGCCCCAGCTGACGCGGCAAGTCTCTTCGACCTCGACGGCGGCCTCGGCGGCCTCCACGCCGGCCTTGGCCGCTGCCACCTCTGGCCGCGCAAACACACTGCCTGATCTAAGTGGAATTATTCACGGAATATGTACCTCGCTCGGCTAAGCCCCTCCATGGCCACGGCCAGGCCTACCCTCTTTTCGCAGCGGTGAGAAGGCCGGGGATCAGACAACTCGGCAACTCCTTTGAGGCGGAATGCGGGTGATCTCCCAAAATTGAAGCGCTTGTTGGCTTGGCCCAATATTGGGGCCCTTGGCCCTTCCATTAGGGAAGACGATGGCGGAGGAAAGCAAGTGGGAGAAACAGCGAGAGGGCCCTTAGAGAGAGAAAGAGAAAAAAATATCAGCGTTCTCTTTGGCCGGGTTCACGCAAACAGAGTGTCCTCCAGAGGGCCCTGCCATCCGCCGTCCAGAGGGCGAAATCGGTGATATCGGGACGCGACTGATTTCTCTTTGTGAGTCTGCCAGGTGTGACCGCAGACCGAGACCAAGACGTTCAAGACGATCAAGACTTTCAAGACGATGAGGACACTGCGTTGACCGTACGGACGACGACAATGACAAACCAAAACGGGTACGTATTTCTGGACTCGTCCTATCACTCGTGTGAAAATAACATAACCACCAATTTACGCCAGCCAGACGGTTTTCCAAAAAACAAGAGTCGCGGGGCGGGTGACCCCGTTAGGTCAAACGGGTTTTCCTCCTCGAGTTGCCCTCTCCCTCACGCCCCCGCCTCCGCGGTCGCACCGCCTCTAAGCCAAGTGATACTGTGTTGACACCCTCGGTGACGAGAACACGAGGACGAGGCAGTACGGGGCTCAGGCAGGCTCACCTCACACGTCTCAAAACGACCGCAGCGCCCCCGACGGGCCGGGGCCCCCCACGGCCGTCCTGAGGGCCCGGCGCCCGGCGGCCTGGCGGGCAGGCCTGGAGGAGGGAGACCTGCCCTACCCTCACGCCTCGCGCCCCTCTCATTAGTAGTTGTAAATGCTGGTATAATTGCAGTCCACTTGAGACAGGCCGAGCGGCCCGAGCTGCTACAGCCTGGTGGCTACAGTGCTACAGTCTCCCCCTTTGCGCGCCCAGGCACGCCCAGGCACGGCCACCGTCGCGTACATTTTGCGCTGGGGCAATGCGTCAAGCACCGGGGCACTGCACCGCCTCTTGGGTGGCAACCTCACGCAGTGTGCTGCAATCAACCAAAGAAACAGAGAGTCAGAATAAACCCGATAAGGTGAGGCAAAGATGATGGCGACGAACGCTTAGTCCTGTCCTGAAGAGTTCGTCCTCTTTCTCCCTCACACCGGCACGGCACGCCGAACGGAGCGACAAAGACAGAGCGATGAACCGACGACTTTCCGCTGGAAAGATGCAAACATCAGTCCGGGCGGGTTGGTCTGTCTCTCTCGTCCGGCGAGCGAGGCAGACGGAGAGCGGACTGCCCGGCCGGCCGCCCTTAACATGGTCGGTCTGTTTGTGCGCCGATAATATAGACCTTCCGTCGGTTCGCATCCGGCCTTCCGAACGGCCTGCGGAGCCTGGCCATGGCCTGGCGGAGCGTGGCCAAAGTTACGAGCACATGCAGACATTCGGGGGCGGGCCGAGGACCGGGGCCCGAGCGCCCACCGAGTCTAGACTTTCTTGGCTTTTTTCGGCAGCCAAATATATATAAATACATCGCGACGGGAGAAGTATGCACCACGCCCGCCACGATTTTCCAAGCTCTCGGAGTTGGCGGACTGGAAATTTCGATGCATGTATGCGATTTTGCACAAAGTATCGCTAGGGGATTATTGCCTTGGCAGCTCTGTTGTCCCCACGTGAGTAACGCTTCCATGTGGAGCGACAACGCGATCGGTGGACCGGATCCGACTTCAGTCCAACAGTCAAGTTGGGATTTTTTTTGGCCATTCGGATTCGATTGCGCCTGCCTTTGCTCACTGGCAGATCAAGGTAAGGCGTTCATTGGCCTGCCCGGCAGGGCCGAGTTGACCCAGCGCGCGAACCGCCGAACACAAGTTGTCACGAAAAGGGGAACAAAACGATTTTCTTTTCCGGATTAATTTAAAATCATGATAACACTTGGATTACGCCGGCACCGCAGAGATACCTCAAATTTCTGGTGATCTGGACTTAAACGATTTGTCGTGAGCCGGTCTGGCCAAGTGGCCCGATCCCTCGCCAGCTGTTTTTACGGACTGTTTGTTGGTGTGCCGCAGAACTCGAGCTCTGTCCACGGAGGCCACCAGCTACACGAACACGAAGACCCTACCGCATCTCCAGGCAGGAGCTGTTCAGACCTGCAGAGGAACTCGATCGGCATCGGAGGGTGTTCCGCCGCGAGTCGACCGGAATTTGCATGGTGGACTCCCAGGCACTCTCAACAATATAGTTCCGTTAAGGGTTCCTTGCGCCTCTTTCAGACCTACTCTTCGTGCCCTGTTCGGAATTTTGACCGCACTGTTTGGGGCGGTAGCCGCAAAGTTGGTCATGAAGGGTAAAAACATAATGATGATCGGGGACCTTTTGCGGTCTTATCCGCTGGGGCCTTTTGGGGGCCAGTCCGAGCCTGTCCCACGTGAGTAACGGTTCCATGTGGAGCGACAACGCGATCGGTGGACGGATCCGACTTCAGTCCAACAGTCAAGTTGGGAATTTTTTTGGCCATTCGGATGTCGGATCTGGCGCCTGCCGTTTGCTCACTGGGCGAGATCAAGGTAAGGCGTTCGATGGGTGGCCTGCCCGGCAGGCGCCGAGTTGACCCAGCGCGCGAACCAAGGCCGAACACAAGTCCCTCTCCCGAGGGGGGGAAACAAAACGGCTTTCTCCGGATTAAATTTTAAAAAATATGATGATAACACTTGGATTACGCCGGGTCACCGCTAGAGTACCTCAAAATTTCTGGTGATCTGGATTAAACGGATTTGTCGTGAGCCGGATCGGCCAAGTCGTAGCCCCCTCCCCTCCGCCCGCTGTCGTTACGGACTGTCTTGTTGGTGTGCCGCAGAACTCGAGCTCGGTGTCCACGGAGGCCACCAGCACCACGACCACGGAGGCGCCCTATCGCATCTCCAGGCAGGAGCTGTTCAGCATCCTGCAGAGGAACTCGATCGGCATCGGCAGGGTGTTCCGCCGCGAGTACGACCAGGCCATGCAGGTCGGTGGCTCCCAGGCACTCATCAAATGACTGTGACAAAATGACTCGAGTTTATTTGGGCATTGTGCCACTCTCGTTTTCAACGTGATTCTATGCTCGAAACACTTTGTTTCGCCGTGGGTGCTAACCAGCGACTCTGTGCCGCAGGACTCGAAGGTGAACCTGAACCGCTTCAAGCAGGAGTTCCGTCTCGCGGTGGCCCCGTTCCTGCAGCCCGCCACCACCGATGCGCCGTCCACGACGGCGCGCAGATGAGCGCGCTTGCCAGGACGGCCCCGAGGACGCTGCAGGGTCCCGCAGGACGACATCCCGGGACGTCCCGTGCAGCCCGCCTCCAGGGGGCCCGAGCGAAGCGCGCGCCGCCTCGCCGCCTCAGCTCTAGTCAGTCACCGCAGGCGACGCGGTGAAGCATGCCGGCAGCCAGGCAGCCAGGCAGCCAGGCACGGCGCAGCTACAAGCAGCGCGGCCGGCCCGCCAGCCTGCTCGTTAGCGCCCAAATTAGTTCGCCACCTCTCCGCAAAGCAAAGCGCCACCGTCACCCCCCGGGCCGGGCCGCCCCAGCCGGCCCCCCGGAACGCCAGCATTTGATTTTGCGCGGTTCTAATCCGTTTACTTATCCGTCCGCCTTTTCGCTCCGCTTTAAAATTCCCAAGCGCCGCAAGCGCGCAGACAAACAGGGCGACAGTTTTGTTGGCCCGCCTGCCTCGGCCTCGACCGCCCCCGCCAAGGGGCGACGTGACTCCCAGCCGCAGAGGCCTTGCGGCGAGGCTAGGCCAAGGGCACCACGGGCCTGGTGGGCCTGGTGGACCTCACTAACTGGAGGCCTGCAGATTTTTGATGGCAAGCCGAGCAGCGAGACGCCATGACCGCCTGTTCGCCTGGCCCTGGTGGTGGACGACCCTTGTTGTCTTTTAGATTACGGTGTGAAAGATAGTCTAGGGAAATCTTCGTGTTCCCTTGTTAAAATAGACGCTTGGCATCAAACCCGAATTGCTGAGTTGGTTAAGGCTCAAACGTTACCGGTTAAGATATTATTTTAAAGATAGGGTAATTTAATTTTTTTAGATCGTTGACCCCCTTGGCATGGCAGCGTACTCAAGCGAAAAGCACCAGTCTACCTGCCTGGCTTATTTTTAGGGAAATGTGATGGTACACAGATTCATCTATTCCTCCCCCAATAGAGATTTAAAGTGCCATAGTTTATAAGTTATTGTGAGACTTCTTCGAAAGCACCATTTCACCAAGTAGTAAGAGCACTGTCACTTCTTTACTGCCATTCTTGGATTATTTCAGTGTGATACCTCATGCCCGGTGCATGTAGTTTTCGTGATATTTGATGCTTTGTGATGTCAGTGAATGCTCAATGAAACAGTGAAGAGTTAAGGATACCGGTAGCAAAGTACAAACCATTTGTTCTTGCCAGTGTAAGTTATGACCTGAACTCGCCAGGACAATGTCGGGAAGAATAGCCACGAAAGTTTCTGCAAGTTTTACGATTTAAACCACTCGGACGATCTAGGGACAGTGGTCGTTAATGATTATATTTTGGTATAAGTTTCGAAGAGGCGATGCAAAAATCTAGATGATATAAAATCATAGAAAAAATAGCTCCTCAAACCATCTTGTTCAGTAACTAAATTATTTCTAGAAAGGTAGTTTCTATTGATTGTTTCAATCTAATTGAAACACTTTCAAATAAATGTATTTATTTATTGCTAATTCATCTAGTCAGATGATGGCTCATAAGAGCTGGACAGCCTTTGAGATGTTCTAATGAAGGTTATTCTTGGCACAAGAATTAAGCACTCTCATGTGTTCCCTTGTATTTTGTCGGCGTTCAAAATTTGTTTGCCTGGAAAGGACAAATATAGCATCTGTTCTCTGTAAATGAAAAGTCAAAGTACTTGAAAATAAAGAACTAATAAAATTGTACCCGTGCAGGTTAACTTAATGCCTCCTTCCTCTCCACACGCAAACGTGCCTTCAAAGGGCAGGTCAAAAGGCACCGCAACACCAAGCAGCCAATCTCACGATGGCCTTGCCAGTGTATCATCGGGACTCGCGGACTAGCACCAGAGCTCATCCCTTCCTCATGCGTCTGGTCGAGCTCCCTTGTCTCGAGGATCTTGTTATGACGGGCTTCCCTCACACTTCCTGGGAGGCCGGCGATGTGCAGGACCCTCCCACAGCTCGTCGCCAACCGCCACTGCCCCCTCCCTCCGGCTGCACGGGATCTGGCCAGGATCGCGACGGCCCGGATGAGTGTCTTAATCTAGTCCGCCATCGCGTAACACAGTCGTGGCGGCCAAATGGGGCGAAACTGGGCGAGGAGGACACCGGGCCCGTCTCCAGCGCTGTCGTCTCTCTGTCCCTCTCTCGCACTCATCGGCCGCACCGTCCGGGTGCGAGAGGGACCATGGTGTGCACACCATTCGGACGCAGCCCGCTGGGCCGGGCCGGGGTCGGGAAGGAGTCGAGATGTAAAGCGGTTGGCGGCGTTCTGATCTGGGCCCGGCCGGCCTATCTGCGGCCTTGCCGGCCTCGCTGGGGCTCGCCGGCCTTGGTTTTGACCCGTTCTGACCACTTGACGACGCCGCGTCTCCGTTATGGAATTGGCCATCGCCGAATCCACTGGCGCGTTGAGATAGCATCGCGGAAAACGCTTCGGGGTACTTTGGAGGCGGCGCGGTCCCAAACGGATCGTGCGCTAAATCCCCGACGATGGTCTCTGCGCCGGTTTTTATTCGTAATCCAACCATTTGTCATCATTGCAAGGTCCGTTTAAATTTGTACGTAAATTTTCCACACGATTGGCAACGTGAGGTTCGCGTAATTCGATCGAATTGATTTTGTGTTTTCATCAGATTTATCGTAGGTTTCCACCAATTGAACACATTGGTACGTTCGTTATTGTATCGTAGGCAACCATTGGCATTGGCCTGATTTTACAGTGCTCTGCTGACGCTAGCGTTTTCGAACAGTTTCAAAAAATCAGTCTGCGAACAATAACATGGTGCGTTCGCTTGCGAGCAGAAACCCTCCCACCCCCCGCCCACGCACTCGATACGGCCCACAGCCCCCCCGGCAAGCTCCAGGACCCGAATTATCAACTTTTTGTCTCTTTAACCAGCCACGCCTTCTTTCGGCGGCGTCCCTTCGCAGCACAGCGCGCGGCCGGGCGGTGCATCTTTAGAGCCGGGCGCTAGAAAAGGGGGTGGGGGAGGGGGCGGGGAAGGAGTTGATTGGAACTGTGAATAATTCAGATCACGTCCGCGCACTGCCTATCGCATCGCGGACTGCCAATAAGCTGACTGATCAGAGCCCCACGGCACGGGCCACCCCGCCCCGCCCCGCCCCGCCCCAGCCACGCGCGCGCGACGAAAGCGCGGCCAGAGAGTTAGGACTTTAGGAGTTGGATTAGTCGTAACGGCTGTGAGTGAAGGAGAGAGGCGGGGGCGGCGGACGACACACTGTCTGATTAGACGAGCAGTGAGCAGCCAGCCAGCACCAGCCAGCCACTGCCACTCGGCCGCACCAGGCTCCACCACGCGCTCCCCCTCCCACCCTACGGGCCGCCCCATGAGAGCGAGAGAGACGCAGCCACCGCTTCGGAACGGGTCCGCAGCATAGCGCCTCCGTGGCGCCTCCCCCAGCGGCGGGGCGGCGCAGTCCGACACGGCCTGCACTGTACTGTACAGGGAACGGTCGGACACACGGCCAGGCGCGACACGTCACGCCAAAAAAAAACCCAGCCCAGAATCAGCAAACAGTGGACGCTTTTCCTCATGCGCGGATGGAGAACACTCGGCCTCGACCAGCGAAACTACCGAGCTAAATAGTGCAGTCGTTGGGCTGGGGGAGTGGTAGGCGGCCGCTTTTCCTCTTCCAGCTTTCCCGAGTCGGTATAGAAACACCGCCATCCCTTTACAAGGATGTTATGCGCCGACGTGTATCCAAACTTGGTTAAAGAGCGAATGTCCTGTCGGACTTTTTGCCTGACTCACAGGCGGCAGGTACAGTAGATTGCCCATGTGCCGGGCGCTTTTTACGGTCGCCTGGATGGCTGGGTGCATGACTGAAAGCTGAAACCATCTGAAAGCAGCTGAAAGCTCGGGCCGAAAAGCGAAAACTTTCTGAGTGGGTGAAACGGTTCGTGCGGCGAGGCGGGGTGCATGGCGGTCACACCAAGGGAGAGGGCAGCGCCCTCGCGTGTGCCGGCGTGCAGTGTGCCGGCGTGCAGCGTGCGGCACACGGCGCCGGGCGAGTCAGAACAGTCGCTGTGTCTCCCTCGCACCCTCACGGAGCGCCCCAGGAGTGCGACAAAGACTGAGGGAACCAGCGCCCCGGCGGGACAGCCCGGCTCGGACACGCAGCGCGGCGGCGCGGACGGACGGTATCATCGTCATCGTGGTGGTCGCGGTGCCCGGCTGGCGTGCCCGCCCGGCTCGTGACCGCGGCCCGCTGACTTCCGGGCCTGCTTCACCTGGCTCGGCGCATGGCTCCCCTAACTCGCGTCGCTCCACCGCAGTCCGCCGGCTAAACGGCTGGAACGCGTCGCCGTGCCGTCCCTCGGCCCTCGGCACCGACCGGCCAAAGCGGCGGGGCGCGCCGCCTCGCCAAACTAATGTCCCTGCTTTGGGGAATTTTCAGGCCGCCACTACTGGCTAAACTCGCGCCGCCGAGCCCCGCCGAAGGCCCTGTCCCTCTCGCACCCCCTACGCAGCGCCCCATGAGTGCGAGAGAGACAGAGGCGAGCGTGCCGGCGTGCGTTCCAGCGAGACTCGCTAGCCCACCACGCTGGATCCCGTCGGAGCAGATCGAGTTGGCGTTAGGCGGGCGGCGAGTTCAAAGCGAGCCGACGGCGTGCCCGGCGTGCGCAAGTGCGTGTGTGTGTGTGTGTGTGTGTGTGTGTGTGACCGACACGACTCTGCGTGACGCTCGGCGTGTCCGGCAGACTCGCACAAACGAATCTCCCGCGGCGCCGCGTCCATGCCCCGCCGCGCCTCGCCGCTTGCCGGTCTGCCCGCCTCGAGGGCGCACCGCGCAACCAGAGCTCCAGGCTGCTTCCGAACAGAGCATCCCCGCTCTGTCTGTCCTCAGCTCCTCGTGAGTGCGAGTGAGACAGAGCGAGGAAAGCGCTGTTCAGCCTGGGGGTGCTGGAGAGGACGGGACCTGTGGACGGCAAGGAGACACCAAAGAGGACGGCGAGGACGACGCCGAGGACGACGGAAGCCGGAAAGTCGGGGTGCTTGAGGACGACAGTGGGGCGGCGGGGGGTGGACCGAGGGGCAGCTGGATTTGGCTGCACGAATGTCCGCCTCTAAGCCCGCCGAGGGCTCGTAAGAGGACAGATAGAATGGGGCTAATCTGTGGAGAGAGCGCGCTGCTCGAAACCGAGGAGGGGGGGGGGGAGGGAGGAAGGGCTGGAAATAAGGAGGGGCCAGTGTTTGCGGAGCGCCCCTTGGACGGCATCCCCAGGACCGCGGCCCCGCCGAGGGCCCGCGCCGAGGGCCTGTCCGGTGTGCGGCGTGGCGGCGCACAGTGGGCCAGAAGACCGGTGGAGGCGGACAAAACTGTAGACTCGTTTTGAGCTCCCGAGTCGCTAAGCAGGACTCAAACCGGGCGTGTGACCCCACCAATTAATTCCTCGTTCGGAGAGCAATCCATTGATGAGGTCACGCGATCGTTTCGAGTCCCATTTCGCGACTCTGGAGCTCAAAACGCGAGTAGATTTTTTGTCCGCCTGCGCCGGTCTTCTGGCGGCGAGGCGATGGGGGTGCCGGTAGCGGTGGCAGGCTCGCGTGCACGGACAAGATAGAGGCACAGGTTGGTACCGTGTCAGTAGCTTCCCCCTCCCCCCAGATGACTTCGGGCTCTTGTATGAGTTGAGCCCGGTCGGGCTCTAAGAAGGCCCCGGCGACTCAAACTGGGACTCAGTCCGCAGTATAGACGGCTTTTCCACGCACTTCTGCCCCAACACGGTCGCTTTGGTGCGTTCGAGTTGAAGACAAAGCCCAGCACTGAAAAGCTAGGCGTGAAAAGTGGCGCAAGCGCACTGACCCGGAGTCGGTAGGCCGCGGTGGAGGGAGGCCGGACCGAGCCCGTCCCAGCCCGGCACTGTGCTATCCATTCATGAGTACCGATTAGCCATTGGCAAAGTGATTACAGGCCCTTCTTTTGAATTAAAGCCAGCCCGGCCGGCCGAGGCAGCCCAGCCAGCCCAGCCCGCCAGCGGACTGCTTGAGAATGCAGAACGGTCGGCAGTACAGCCGCTTGCACACTTAGCGGCAATCGGCACGCATAATGCAATGCCCTATAAAATCGCAAAACAAGACCGTTGCGAGGACAAAAGGGAACGCGGCCGGGGGCATCGAGTTATTCGATTGACGCAGTTACAAAAGTTCAGTGAAAACGACCATGAGTTCTGTTGAGCAAAGAAAAGATGATAGATTTCAATCAGTTCGTTGAAAATTTTTGACATTGCATTGACAAGCACAATAGTGTTACAAAGGGCAAAAAAAAAAAACGTAAGCGAAGGAAAACGAAAACTTGGCCGCAAGGTCCGTTGCATGCCGTCGTAAATTGACATAGACCCGACTGAAAGGCGACCCCGGCGAGGAGAAGCTCATCGTCTTTGTGGCCGCCTATTGATTTATGCATCGCGACGCGGCGTCCCTACGCAACAATGCACACCGCGGGGACAATGCCGAAAGGGGGAGGGGGTTGAAACCCGTTGAAACCGTGGCAGCTATTTCGAGAGGCGCGCTGCTGCGACGCGGCGCCGCCCCGGCAGGCCTCGCCCCCGCGCCATGCCGCTGCCGCGCTGCCACGCCCCGCCAAAACCTGTCGGCCTCAGGTGAGGCGCCGAGCGTGGCGATGGAGTCTGCCGTTACCGCCTCGCTGGCGGCGGGGACATCCAACATGGGCGTCGC